CACTCGCGTGTAATGGCCCCATACCCATTTCTCTCAGGGCCCCTATAACGGCGACTGTGAGGGCCCTCTCCGACGCCCCTGAGCGCCACACCGGCGTCTCTGAGGGCACCACACCCCTAACTCTGAGGCCCTACACCAATGCCTTTAAAACCCCTACATGGGCGGTTCTGAGGGCCCTCGGCAGTTACCAGCGACCCTAACGGTCCCACACAGGTGACTCGGAGGGTCCCAGCTGCGTCTGAGAGCACCATGCCGGTCTCTGAGAACCCCACAAGGCTCCTGAAGGCACCGGTGACCTCTTGATATCTTCTTGTCGGCCTATGAAGGGTCCGTTCCGTAACAGCAGTTCTGAGGGCCACACGCGCGCCTGTGATGGCCCTAAATCAGTGTCTCTGAGAGCCCCCACAACGGCGCCTGTGAGGCCCATCACCGGCAACTGTGAAGCCCCTACACCGGCGCCTCCGAGGGCCATACATTGCCATATCTGAGGGCCCCGCACTATTGCCTCTTAAGGCCCTATATCGGCGGCTCTGAGGGCCCAACACCGTCGCTTCTGAAGCCTGAAGGCCCCACAAGCATGCACCTATGACGGCCACCCACCGGTGACATTTGAAGGCCCCCACACCGGCGACTCTGAGGGCCCCATCGGCGTCTGAGTCCGTGCCGGTCTCTAAAGACGACCCCACAGGGTTTCTGAAGGTACCACCGGCCTCTGATGGCCCTTTGCCGGCCTCTGAGGGCCCGTCGCCGGTCTCTGGAGCCCCCTGCCGACTTGTAAAAAGGGTACGCGTTATCATATCAGCTCTAAGGGTCAGACACTCGTGTACGACGGACCCACACCAGTGTCTTTGCAACTTAACGTCTTTTTTTTGCCCTTCTTCTTAAGGCTAACTTTTCTTTTCTTTACATCTTTATTTCATGCATTGTAAATTGCGTAATTATTTTATTTTTAGTAGTGAAAGACTGCTGAACCAACTATTTTCCTCAGGCAGAGTTAGTGGGAGTTATAAAGGGACAAAATAATTGGGGGTGCTAACTGGAACATTTGGGGGTGCCCGGAAAACCATTGGGGGTGCTAACTGGAACATTTGGGGGTGCCCGGAAAACCATTGGGGGTGCTCATTTGAGCATTGGGGGTGCTGCAGCACCCCCAAAAGTATACAAATCGACACCCATGGACTGGCATACCGTTAGGTTGGTCATTTTCGCGAATCAAAAATATATCTGCAAAAATCTCCTAGATGAAAGCGCCCGAGTAAAAAACGGATGGCACGTGCGTGTTCCTCGCCCCCAACTTCCTTCAGGTCAATCGTCCTTTGGGTCACCTAACGCATTGACGACCGGCTGGGTGGAATGAACATTGCGCCAAGAAACGTAAGCATATTGTCAAAAAGAATCCCCAGAATGGTGGATCCCAAAAGTTTGAAACTACCACTTTGACCCACTGGACGACACCTTAAAGGGACTATCCCACCTTTAACATGGGGTTTGAGTTGAGATAGCCAAGTTTGCGGCGAGGTTCAGAAACCACTATCTATCTAGTTTGCAACCCTCGCGGCCTCTAGGTGTTGAAGAAATTCGTTCCCTTCATTTGAAAATGGGCTTTGTACAAGGCCCTATCTTCAACATGGAGCGACCGTTAGTGTGACGTCACCTCGTTTAGTCATTCTGATTTAAATGGGTTTGTTCGTTGAAAAATCGCTTAAAACTTGGTCTGAACTTTGTTGTGGTGCCTACAGAGTAAAAAGAATCAGCTTTATGACAGTAATGTGGCCTGGGGAAGGAGGTAATTTTGGGCTGTGACGTCACATATTTGAAAGTTTGTGTTTGGAATATGGGAAGCCTAAGATGTTTAATGAAAAATAAATGCCAGAACCGTGTTCCTGGCCATCCAATCTATAAAGTCGGGCACAATTTAACTAGTTTTAACAACATTTTAGAAGGTGGGATAGTCCCTTTAAACAGTTGCCGACCGGATGACACCCATTGTTTGGTCACCCACGCCATAGTATGCATCATGGGTGCGCCGAAATGACCAAAAGTCCCTATTTCCGGTGTGCAGGGTCATTTTCAACGGCACGTGGCACGTGGTTCTGGACTTTTCCGGCCACTTTGCGACATACCCATGGGTAGTGCACCGAATGGTGGTTGATCCGCATGGAAGAAAATGGGGGGTCATTTGGATCGTTTTCGAGCAATCTGCCGTGGAACGCATTTTTTCATTTTGCCCATTGGCTTAACACGGGAATTTTCAAAGTCACGTGGCACGTGCACCAGATGGTCCGTGGAGGGGAGACCCATACCAGAACGTAGATCACCTGGCCCACTAGAAATCCTGAAAAAATCAAAATTTTTGGAACAGCCGTTTTCTAGAGCATCAAGTTGTACTGATCTCAGGCAGCTTTTGCCAAATTGTCAGGGAACTCAGATTTGTTTTTCAATAGAAAAACACAATTCTAAAGAATAGTGTTTTAACTATTGACAACAAACCTTCGGTTATGTTAGTGGTGATGATAATGGTAGGTAGACTAGGTACCGTGTCATTAGCACTGGAAAGTTTCTTGCAGGTTGCTGAAGTGAATTACTTTCTTGGCATTTTCCGCTGATAACTTAATGACGTTTAACGTTTGAGTAGGTGTCCGACTTTCCGGCGTGCCCTGTGTACTCACCGGCGCGTTGCGGTGTACCCTGTATCGGCAGGCGTGCTGGACATGGGTCCGGACACGCGTCACGTGCTGCAGCTGGAGGTGATGCCTCTGACGGGCGGATTCCTGCCGCTGCCCACCGTCCGACTCAGCCGCTACATCCCGGCCAACAAAGGTAAGAGACTAAGGGGCATGGACCAGTCACTGTCCGACTCAGTCGCTACATCCCCACCAACAAGGGTAAGGGACTAAGGGGCATGGACCAGTCAGTGTCCGACTCAGTCGCTACATCCCGGCCAACAAGGGTAAGGGACTAAGGGACATGGACCAGTCAGTGTCCGACTCAGTCGCTACATCCCGGCCAACAAGGGTAAGGCGCGTGATATGGACTGACCATGGTCCTACATCCCGATCAACAGGGGTGAAGGGCGTGATATAGACCACCCACGGTCCTACATCCCGGCCAACATGAGTGAGGCCTAAGTCAGGCGCGATATGGAACTGGAGGTGCTCGATTACTGCTCGAGGACCGCGCTGACCCAGCTGACCCTCTCCCTCCCTCAGAATGTGTGGAGGGCCGTGCGCCCACACTCTCCCTTCCTCTTCAGTTTGTCGATGGCCGCTCACCCCTCCCTCCCCCATGCAGAGTGTGTGGAGGGCCGCGCGATGACCCTCCCCCCCCCTCCTCAGAGAGCACCGAGGGCCGCGCGCTGGTCACGGGCTCCAGCCTGCCGCGCCTGGAGCCGTTCGCCGCCGGCCAGGTGTACAGCGCCTCGCGGGGACAGCAGGTGCACGTGCTGGCCACCAGCGCGCCCGGACTGGCCGACCGATCCGCCGACGTGTCGCTCTCGTAAGGCGATACCCCACCGCCGACCACGCGACCGACAGGCCGGGCTCGGCTGGTGTGAGTGGACCCGCGCCGGTGGAGGGTAAGACTGGATCAAAGAGGCTCCGGTGACGATAATTACAGTGGGCTTCCACCCGTAAATTGTGCGAGGAATGTCCTGAGTAAATACTTTGAGGGAATCTATCATCAAATATGCATATTTTCCGTTATAGACGGAATGGCTATATTCTGAGTATGGTTGTATCGTGGTAAGATACTCGTATTGTGCTGTATGCTCTATTTCCGTACAAACACTTTTGACTGCTGTTGTGTTGCTTTTATTAGCTTAAAGCTATTGCTATATTTATTTCTCGTGCTCGCTGGGAGCGTGCGGACGTATGGTGCGTCTCGTTATTATCTGTCTGGTCCACATAATGAATGTGTGAACGATCTGTGGAGATTATAAGACAGATCTGTACTAGACGGGACTCATGAGCTACACAGTCCGCGGTTGTTTCCAGATTAGTTGTTACGGTGCTTGCCGACCTATAATATATTCTTGTTATGTTTCTGTACCGCATCCCCTTATGTTTCCGTTGGACTGGGCAAGGCCTCATGTATGGGTCGTTCATGAGTTCCGCCAATGACAGTCTGGCCTTATATGCCGGGATGGTGGGACAGCTCCGGCCACCGAGGCCATCCGTCCGGCACTCTAGGTGATCGGATGGACCTTGGGACTGTGCGGAAAACAAGCGAGCATGTACAGGAATAGTTATTACTATTTTTATAATGTTATTATGTTGGTGGAAGCACATTTATCATGACAAAATAAACGAATGTTTGTCCGCCGTCCGGATCTTTGGACTTGAGGCTTTGATTTGTGTCGGAGATCTACTTTACTTTTCACCGTTGCTTTGTTCTTTTTGTGACATTGGCCCCGCTGGTATTAAACACACAAAATGTGTGTGGATTTTTTTTTCAAATATATCAATTTATTGTGAATCGTAAACTCGTAGGATTCTGATCGTAACGTAGGTGGGATGTCGCAATTATAATGGTTGGGAAGTTTCCCTGTTTTTGACGAATATCCTACTGCTTCGCGGGTTTGACGTCCAATCGCATGGTAAAATCATGGAATAATATCTACTCACGTGAAATATAGATAACCGTCACTAGTTAGATGGTCTTGACCACGATATTGGCGCCGTAAGGAGCGTAAGGAGTAGGAACATGGACGCGTGTTGCAGGCAAACATAAATTAGCAGTGGTCTCCTAGAGCAAATCTTTGAGACGAAGAAGGCGCGCTAGAGACAATATTGGCTATATGGTTTTCGCTGGTGAACTTTATTTTTTCGTCGGTCTTTTGGTGGGTGTTATGGACGTTTTATGAGTAATTTATGCGTGAATTTAGTCAAATAGAGTGGATTACAAATGTTTATTTTCATTTATTCAGGAAAATTCTTGAAGCATGTCACTTAAACTCCTCAGAAAGTGCTATGCTGAATCACTATTCCTGCTGAATTTTACTTGTAGGGGCCTTCTAAGATCAAATTTTTCACGATAATTAGTACCTACTTCATCAAAAGGAGCATTACTCCATAAACATTGAATATTCTTCCTAATTTTACTAATTTATAAGCCTCTGTAAATGGTATAGGCTTTCATTGTTCTGAGTTCCGTGCTGGATCTTGCAGGTTGAAGTGCATTGGTTTCTTGGTTACATAACATTTGTAATGTTTATGTATTCTGTCATGGCAATATATTTGTAGTTGAAAGTCAAGCATTTTGTGAAATATCTGCAAATAGTAGGGTGTATTTTAGTTTTCACTATTGCAATATTCATGCAACATCAAAAATGTTATTTCTGTACCCTGAAGTCTATATCTATGTTATGTCTATGTCTACCATTTATAAAACTGATCGTCATTTCGCTGAATTGATTTGATTTATGTTGAGGTAATGCAGGCAGGCATGTCTAACATTCTGAGGAGTGTTTTTTAGGCACTTTGTTGAGTTCTATTAGGAGGTATCTGAACTGAGCAGTATGACCATGGCGGTGTTTCACGGGACGCTGCTACCACGCTACTATCAAATTGCGCGAGCTGACGTCACACTTGTGGTAGTGTTGGAGCAATGGGCCTGTTGATGTTTCCATGGAAACCCAATTTGACACGTGTAAAAGCAGCGTGCTGCTATCACCGGTGAAACAGGGCCCATAACATCAATAGAGTGCATTGTTTTACTTTGACAATTAGGTATGTTTGAAATATAGCAAAATAGGTAGCAATACCCACTCCATTCCATTTTTATTATTGCCAACCAAGCATATTATGTAATGTTTTAGTCCTTCAGATTTTAGTGAGAGCCAATTATAGCTGTAAGTGATGATGCAAAGTGTATGAAGAACACGAGGGCACTGAAGTCAAAGGTGTCTGTTTTTTGTGTGTGTGAAAAATTGTTATGTGTTTCAGGACCTCTAAAAACCAGCAGCAGAAACAAAACCTGTAGCAGAGCTTCTGCAGTATAACCATGGCCTTGTCAGGTGAGCAGCATTTTTTATTGTTTATAAAGAATATGAAAGAAATACTTGCAATGCTGTTTTTGCTTTGATTCAATGTGATTTTGGATCTTTTTATTAGTTTTAATAGAAAGATGCATTGTTGACATAATTGCAGCCTACTTTACCCATTTTCAGCTTTTCAGCCATTTCATTTTGCCGCCAGCTTTGCTGATCATGTCACCTTTGCTATCACTTTCCCCTCTCCATGTGACAAGCTGCCTTCCAAAACATACATGTATGCTTAGTTGTCCCATTGGTCTGTTTTCTTGATTCATTAGGTGAATCAACTCATGCAACCATTTCATTTCACATTGTTGTCTTTATTTGAGTACATATTACATAATTCTGCAGATAGTTGCCTAGGTTGGGTTAGGCTAAGATGTATTCCAGTTGCTTAAAATCATTCAGAGAATACAGACAGACATTTTCTGAATATCAGTGAAAGAGCAATAAAGGCACAACATAAAGGGAACAGTCAAGTTTAAGAGTATGCCATCAGTGCTCAACCCCCATTGCTGTCCTGGTACCACCTTCAGTCCTTTGGTGACATTGGCTCGCACCTCCGAGGTCCAATCTTTACGGTAGCGCGGCGGTGGTGGCGCTGACGCTCCCGGCGGCGGCGGCGTCTCGACCGCCGCCGCCGGCCTCACTAAACTGTACCATGATGATGACGTAGGTCAGGATGGTGGAGGAGACGCTGACGATGGTGGAGCGCCGCAGTCGGAACAGGCCCAGGTCGCCGAGCGTGTCCAGGTCCTGGGCGGCCGCCTCCCGCAGCAGGGCCGCCTGACTGGCCAGCTCGGGACGGCGGCCCTCCAGCTGCAGCAGCAGCCGGCGGCTGTCGGCCGACAGCTGCAGCGCCCGCTGACCCGCCTCGCACGGGCCGGACAGCGTCAGACCGGTGGACATCAGGTACACTGCGAAGCCGGCCACGTCCTGCGCGGTGAAGGCGGACCGCAGCGTTTCCAGCACGCTCATGAAGAGGGTGACCTGCAGCAGCATCCCGTTGGCCATGGCCAGCACCAGCTCTGCGGCGCTATCTCCGGTCAGTCGGACGAACGAGTCGGTCAGCCGGGCGCGCAGCCGCGCCAGCCGCCGCAGCTGCCAGGCGCCGGCTGGCCGCTCGCCATCCACCATCGCCCTCAGCTCGGCGTTCACGGTCTCCAGGCCGTCCGAGATGAGCAGGCCGACCAGCAGGAACTTCACCGGAACCAGCTGGAAGGAGACCACCAGCCCGACGTAGCCGACCCGCCGCGTCCACGCCAGGAGGCACTTTGACCAGTGCTGCGAGCGGCAGATCTCTGGAGAGATGAAGCCCTCGGTGGTCCAGCCGATACCGACTGTCAGCGCCAGCATCACGGCCAGCAGGGCGGCGGCGATGCGGGCGGTGCGGCGGCGCGGCCCGGCCCAGCCCGGCAGGTCGGAGAGCTGGTCCAGGCAGGCGCGCACCCTGTCCAGCTCGGCGGAGAAGTGTCGCCGGCCGCGGAGCAGGACGGCGCTCAGGGTCAGCCACCGCAGTACGAACGCCACCCCGAAGAAGGCGGTGTCGGCCACGACGCGCACGGCCGGCACGCCGGCGGCCAACTTCTGCAGGCCGTAGCGCAGTGACCAGGCGGTGGTCTGGTAGGTGGCTGCCGTCTGCAGCGCGTGCAGCAGACAGGCGTACAGGAGGCGGCGCCAGCCGGGCGGGCCGGCCGCGCCCGTCAGCTCCAGCAGGCGCAGCAGGGCGCCAACCGACCGGGGCAGCGGGCGGGCCGGCGCCGGCTCGACCGCTGGCTTCTCTCCGTCCGGCAGAGTGCCTGGGGTGTCTCCATCCGGGAGAGTGCCTGGGGTGTTGGCGTTTACAGGGGAACTCGGATGACCCGTCCACGACATATCCGTCGTCAGCGGCAGCGACAGGTGCGAGTGCAGAGGTGAGGGGACGTCGGAGACCGTCACCGGCTACACTGTCCGCCACAGAGTGGACAGCCACGGCCGCTGAGTGACTATTCTATACGGACACCCCCGCGGTGGCCGTATTCGCCCTCACTGATGGCGCTGCCGCGGGCTGTCGCTCGGGCTGACCTCTCCTCGGTCGGCTCGCCTTCAATAGACGGGACAAGACCGGTGTTTGCCTCCCGTTCAGCAGTGTGTTCTGTTTGACCCGCACCGTCAACGAGTGGCGACCTGTGTGTGCCCACCTGCGCGTGCCCTGTTGAACCAGCGCACTGGGCCGCGACGGCAGCGACCAGCGACGACGGTGACTTGTTTGTTCAGCGTTCGGGCAGCGATCGTTAATGTAGGGCGCCATTGTGGACCGGCAATGTGCTCCAGTCGTTAGAGATATTGCCGAAAGCGACGAGTTATTTGAGCGGACCACGTCCGATACCTATTATAGTCTCAAAAGCAAAAGCAGGTTGGCAGTTTTTGGGATCGACAAATCTAGGTAGCTGTACGCGCTTTAATATGTGTAATGGATGCATTAGGTAGTTCAGTTTTAGGGACAGTATGTATGTCTGCGGATATTCAACATATCCATCCAATGGATCCAGTACATCAATTTCCGTTTTACGGCTACAGGCGGCATATGATTGGTACTCATATTTCGACAAGTTACAAGACAAGCTACCGTCAACAGTTTATCGTCAACGTCCTTTATCACCACTGCAATGCACTTACCAGACTGGATTGTGTTTTCGTTCGTCAGTCCGCCTTGGCTTCTAAATCATCCCGTGCGTGCTCCAACTGTTCTGTATTATCCGTCTGTTGCCCATGCCCATGATCTGTCTGCTCCGTTCCGTGTCGACAGTTCTGTCTGACTCGTCTTTCGTCTGTGTTGACAGCTACTCTATCTCAACCGTCCTCCGCCCGTGCTGACAGTTCCGCCTGACCCGTGTCCTGTCCGACTGCTCTGTCCTACCGCTCATTGTCCGTGCCTACAGTACTGTCTAAGCCGCCTGTTTCCGTGTCGACAGCACTGTCTAACCCGCCTGTTGCCAATGCCCACAGTTCTGCGCGGCCTGGCGGTGTCCCGGGCGGCCCCTGCCATCGCCAGGCCCCTGGCTGCTGTTACCTCTCCCTCCGTCCAGCCGACGGCCCTGCAGCAGCGGCGAGAGGCCACCTCAGAAGCCGGTCAGTAGCCGACGGACGGACGGGCGAGGCGCGCAGGGATACGGGAGGGTCAAATGCGGGACGTGATATTATGTTGGAATGATCAGGGGGTGAATTATTGTGTGGGGAACTTAATTAAATAATACTTTTTTGAGGGGAGAGGTCTGAACATGGAGCCGTATGTGCTACTTTTAACTAATTTATCAGACTGATGCGATACTGGTGGGCGGTGGCTCATTGTCACTGCTTTATGAGACTTGGATTCCTTGTATTATACTGAGCAACAGCCCAGTGGCCTCACTAACAGTACACACGCCTGGCGTTAATGTGGCACTATGTCCTGACACCGTTCTGTGCCGCCCGACAGTGGTGCCGCAGAAGCACAAGCCCTACTCGCCGTTCCAGAACCTCAACAATAAGGCCGAGTACGCGGTGGCTCGGCTGGACGACCTGCTCAACTGGGGCAGAAAGGTGGGCACGGCGCGGCAAACTACAGGGGGGGGGGGGGGGGATGATGGACCTTGTCTCTAGGCTCTCGCATTAGAGCTCACTAGGTGTTGACGCTTCAATTATTTCACTTGTGCTGCTGTTATCATTCGCTGAATTCATTCTATCGATGCCAGTGTTTCCAAAATCCAAGCTGACTTCGTCACCTTCTGGGCTCTGTAATGGATTTATAAACTAAGCAGCATCATGTTCCCAATAATCCTGTTCCAATAGTTCCCAACCAAGCTGTGTGCTCAATTATTCCCTGTCCTCTCCCACCCCGCGCCCCGTTCTGAAGCCTGCGCCGCTGTGTGTTGCAGGGCTCGCTGTGGCCGCTGACGTTCGGCCTGGCTTGCTGCGCCGTGGAGATGATGCACATCGCGGCGCCGCGCTACGACATGGATCGGTACGGCGTGGTATTCCGCGCCTCCCCCCGCCAGGCCGACGTCATCATCGTCTCGGGCACGCTCACCAACAAAATGGCGCCCGCCTTCCGCAAAATCTACGATCAGGTGAGCGAGTCATTGCTTCTGCTGGGTAAGCAAATATTTGAAAAGCTGATTACTGTGTCAGTGCTGCTACATGCCTTCGTAATGATGCACGCTTCCCCGAGCCTCCAGAAAATGTCAGTTACGTTCCACATTGCACCCCGTGCTGTCCGCCTTTCGGAAGCTAGGTAGCTGCCTGTCTTCAATAGCGATGGAGCCGTTGTAAAAAGACAACACTAACCATTGAGAATCCGGCCTGTGGCATCATACTTTCCCCCGCTGTTCCAGCACCACCCTCCCGGTCCGACTGCCGGGATCCTGTTGTCCTATCCAGTTTGTCTAGCCGGTCTGGTGACGCCTCGCCCGCCCTCAGATGCCGGAGCCGCGCTGGGTGATCTCGATGGGCAGCTGCGCCAACGGCGGCGGCTACTACCACTACTCGTACGCGGTGGTGCGCGGCTGTGACCGCATCGTACCCGTCGACATCTACGTGCCAGGTAGGCACGACGGTGCTGCTCGGCGGGGCTGGCCGCGACGGGGTGGGCTGGATGGCTCTTGTTGAATGTGGGTGTGCGATTGTGTATACGTACTTCTTGATTTAAACTGCACGATGTTTTTTTTGTCGTCGAACCTAACGCCTGCGTTCGTGTGGTAGAGGGTAGGTTTTCAGACCGTTTCTGACCATGCAACAACGCTTTGTCATTGTGTGGTGTGCGCGATTCCATCAGCCCTTTCTCCACTACCTTGTCGCACATTTTCTACCTTTCTTTCAAGGTCAGTGTGAACAAGGTTCGCTATTTTCGGTCTCTCACGGTTTTCTGCTCCGCCAGGCTGTCCGCCGACCGCCGAGGCGCTGATGTACGGCATCCTCCAGCTGCAGAAGAAGGTGAAGCGGATGAAGACGGTGCAGATGTGGTACAGGAAGTAGGCGCGCCTTGCTACAGGGCGGTGTGAATCACTAGAACATGTTGTAAATACAGGGCGATGTCGGGTGCTGCCGTTTTCGGGCGCCGGTGTCGCGTGTCACGGCGGAGTGTTGTGACGCTGTACGAACTGGATACTGGGTATGTGTACCGGGCGTAGTGCGGGGAGCGTCTCGACGAGAACGCGGCGACCTCCTCAGCAGAATACATGGCCCGTCCAACAGACGTGTGTGACTGATGGGAAGAATATTCGGGAGTAACATTGGGGCTCGGAGACGGGATAGATGAGGGTACGAAACTCATCAGAAGTAACGAACTAACCGTTGCGGGAAGACGCGAGTAACATGGGACGCTGCAAAAGCGGCTGCACTGTAATATATTGAAGTTCGGAAAGAATCACGCGTTTAATTCCATCATAGGGTGAACAAAGGTAAAGCACATGGATCGGGTCCGAGCGAGCGTGTGCTGTATTTATGCTTGGAAAACGCCTCAACAAAGAAAACAAAAACAGTCAAAAAGCACAAACCGGTAAAATCTGTCTGTGACTTTCCCCGCTATCCACCAGCGGGCCGCCACGATACCGTAACAAATTGACGGGCTCTGACGAGCAGAGGAAATTCACCTCCCACTCCCCGCTCACCTCTCCCCATCCCCACATCCCCGTAAAGCACAACCTCCGACCGCGGCGGCCGGTCCCAGCCAGTACAGTTCCCAGTCCGTGTAAAATTACCCTATCGTCGACCCGGCCGTCACGAGAGCATCGGCCGCGGCGTCATGAAGTGTTTGAGCACCTCGTCGGTGACGGCTTTGCGGCGCTCCTGCTGTTCGGCCATCAGCTTCTGGAGCAGCTCGATGAGCTCCTTCTTGAGGAAGCCGGTGAGCAGCTCCCCGGACGAGTAGTCGGCGCGGACCTTCTCCAGGCGCGCGTCGTCCTCCAGGAAGAAGGTCAGGTACTGGTAGCTGATGTCGACGCTGCAGTCGCCGCCCAGCCGCCGGTGCTCCTCCACCGTGTCCCGGCCGCCCGAGAAGGCGTGCTTGTTGATCTTGGTCTTGATCTGCTTGGCGGTGTCGGTGACGAAGATGGACGAGTTGGGGTCGCTGGCGGACATCTTGGTCATGGCGCCCTGTAGCGCCGGGAAGAAGGACGAGTGCAGCAGCGCCGGCTTCTGGTAGCCGAGCCGCGGCGCCACGTCGCGCGTCATACGGAAGTAGGGGTCCTGGTCGATGGCGCAGGGAATCAGACAGGGCAGGTCGGCGCGGCCGCCAAACAGCACCGGGAACGACGAGCTGAAACTGGGCGCCGCCTGCACCGCCGGAAAGGCGATCTTGCCGATGTGGTCGCTGTCGCCGAAGCCGAAGATGCCCTTGATCTGGTTGTAGGTGACGCTCCGCTGGATGCGCATCATGTTGTGGTAGAACTGGGGACATTGCCTGAAACACAACGAATGCATAAAAAAAAAATGGTAGCACCGATAGACAATCTGATTATTAGAACAGCATTTATGCTGTTATGCTCATAGGCGGCGACAAAGTGTGATTCTTTTGTCTGATACCTCTCTTCTGGCTAAACGGTGACATTTTAAACAATGTTAAAAAAATCGGGAAACATTAACATGCCACGTACGGCCGTGACACGTGCTTACCCGATGTAGTCAAGGTCCGAGAAGATGAACGTCTTGTCCGGGTTGAAGCCACATGCGATGATGTCCTTGGCGTTCTCGTGGGCCAGTCGGTTCGCCTCCTCCAGAGTGAGGTCCTTCCAGAGGAACTTTTCGTCGTCGGTGAGCTGGATCACCAGCGGCGCGTCGAACGTGTCCTGCAGCCACCTGGCGGGGACGGCACGAGGCTTAGACAGGACAGGAGCGTGACCCAAGGCGGCGAGGAAACAATACTGATCAGAGGTACGACACTCGACTAAAAGCAGTATGTGGATACGCTTCAGGTCGGAGACAGATGCGGGTACCATAGTATGCTCACTTAAGCTTATGAGTACGACACACGACTCAGATGCCAGGGTACATACGACACTCGACACAGTGGCAACTGTGGGCAGCCTAAGGCAACATACATGTACGGTATCAACGCTAACGTGATAGTCGCAACGAAAAAAGAAATGCAAAGCACTAACCGGATAATAATCGACTGCTAATGAGAAAGCCTGTAACAACATCACGCACAGTAAGCGATATATCTCGGCGATGCTCCGCTGCGCGCCTCACTTGGTCATGATGAAGGGCACCAGGTGACCCAGGTGGAGCGCTTCCGAGGACGGTCCGCGGCCCGTGTACAAAAAGAACGGCTTCTTCTGCTCGTACAGCGACAGGATCGTGTGCAGGTCGCGGTGCGAGAAGAAGATGCCGCGCCGCAGGAAGTGGTGCACCGGCTTCCCGGTCACCTTCTCAATGCGCGCCAGCAGCGTCTCGTCGATCTTGGACGAGCCGAACCGGCCTGGGGACGGCGCACAGACACGGCAGCGGTCAGATCAGCCGCGGAGTGGCGCCGGGGGCCGCACTGGGCTCCGCCGGGGCATCATGCCGCTGGTGTTGCTACTGTAACAGTCGGTACCCGCCCTCGTACTCGAGTGACGTCACCGCGGCTGAGCTGGCGCCGGTGACGTCACTCGGTCGTCCGAGGAGGGAGAGTGGATCCCAGGGCTTGTTGGGACATTCATGTCATGATGAAACCTGAATAAGGCGTGCCCCATATCTGGTTATTGATTAATGGTGATTGGAGTAAGAAACACCACTTTCTGAAGTTTTAACTACAAATTTATCTTATTGAGCTTGGTTCATGCCGACATTTATAATGTGTTTACATTATAAATGTGGAATCAATGGAAGGTATACACCTCTACAAAGGCATCAAACATTTTTACAATTCTTAAGCCTTCAAAAGCCCAGCCAAATGTGCATTATCAATTATCATGATAAGATTTTCCACGACAAAAATGGTCAGCCAATCCAAACTGGTTTCTGCAAAACTTACTGATAAGTTTGTTATAGTCTATGCCAGTCTGTGACTGACTGGTCACATTCCATGGATCTACAAAATCCTCTGCTGCATCTGCTGCAGCAGGAGGCTTGTCTTCAATGGTAGTGTTTTCCATCTTCTCACTGACACAGTTACTATCAGTCATTGTTCCTAAAAGTGTCAAAACCTGTAAATGCATAGGTAGGTAGGTACAATCAGAATTGGCATATGTAACAATCAGAATAAGAAAACAACAAACAGAATTTCTGTAAAACAGAAATAGTGACTAAGCTAACAAATCACAGCCTTTTTCCAAAGAAAGAAGGGTACAAACATAGATATATATTAACGAGCTATTGCACATAAATTCTAGGTATTCATGGCAAACGTGATTTTCTTATGAGTACTTGTTCCCATGAAATTGCAGATACAACAATCAATACATGCCTTCATTTTAACTTTTAAGTCTATTGACAATAGTATTTGATTAAAACTTCATCTGGGCATCTTCAAACATCAAAGGGTTACAACCCAAAATTTTAAATCATAGTGGTAGCCCCATTTTACGCAACTTACCTACCAATAGGCTAGAAGTTAAATATTTATGAAACAACTTAACCCAAAGTCAGTGAGTAAGCTGCTAAAAGCATATTGCAGCAATGAAAGCAGCATGAGGAACCACGGTTACTGTAGTAGTGTGGTGCCGTGGGGCAGTTCACCACATATCAGTGACTGGATTTTACGTTAATCAGAAATGGAGAATATAAACCTGGTGCGTGTTCCAAAAATTCAATCAGTTCGATCCAAACGGCCCCAAGTAAAAGAATTAATTTAAGGAGCGGGTTGTTATATTTAAATTACCAAAACGAAGTCAAAAACCAAAACAGCGAATCAGACAATGGAGCGACGAAGAGACGAGAATGAAATCCAAGTTTGCCAAATATGCCCTGCCTAATCTAAGTTATAAATCCCGGACAGAACGGGCCAAATCGCGGAGCCAGACGTGACGCGTCTGCTCGGGTCAAGAGCTCGGCCTAGAAGTCCCTGGGAGCGCGCGGCCCGACGCAGCGGGCCGGGCCCAGACATGCGCAGAAGCACTCGGACACCACGTGGCTGCCGATCGGAGCGCGGATTGGTCACTGGCCGACGCACTGCGGCAGCGCAGGCCGCAGCCACGCGGTCGCATCGTGATGGGACAAAGTTCACGAACAGACACGTCCTGGGCCGCCCCCCCAGCGCCGGGGCGGGGTAGCGACGTCACAAGTCGGCGCGCGAATCGGTCTGCGCCGGGAACTCCCGTGCCGGCCGGCGACACACGTGGTTACCACAGTACTCACCGCCTCAGCGCGGAGCGCATACACGATAAGCCAAAACAATCACTTTTCACATCACTCGGTGCGCGACGCGATCGACACTTCACTGCGCGACGCAATAATCACTACACGGTACGGCGCAACGCAATTGTCACTGCACGGTCCTGCGCGACGCAAGAATCACTACACCGCGCGACGCAGTTATCACTTCACTGTCGGCGCCACGCGATCAGGATCGTCCTCGAACGCACGTACGCGGGCGCACTCAAAAGTATCGGAAGTCCGGTTGCGGCCGGAACTGCACGCGGCGGCCGCTGCGGGTGTGCACCGGCGCAGCCGCGGACGGCTTGTCGTCCTTGGCCGGCGATGCGGAAGACGTCACTCCAGGTTTTGAAGTCCTCTTGCTGGACGGTCTTGTAGTCGTTGGCGTCGGTGTTGGCTCGTCGGGCGCCCCAGTGGCGAGGGGCCCGAGCGAGGTCGACGGTGACGGCTGCTGCTCCGGAGCCGTAGGCTCGGTACTGCTCGGACCAAGCGTGTCCTCAGGTGGCGGCATGTGTGCCGGTTTGAGTCTGTCGACGCTTACAGTGTCGTGGGCGCCAGTCGGCAGCTCCAACGTGAACACTTTAGGGCTGCGTCTGATGACTCGCATGGGGCCGCGGTACGGGGACTCCAGAGAGTGCCGCACGCGGTCAACGCGTACCCACACGTGTGTGCATGTCATGAGATCGGGTGGCACGTGCGTCGGTGGTGTGCGGGCGTGGTTCGAGCCCTGTGAGAGCGTGACGAAATCGATTTCTGACATACGTTTTGCCAGTTCTTGGACGTACTTTGTCCCGACGGGGACCTTCTCGACGGCGCAGCGGGGAAACAGCACCTGTGCGCCTGTGACGGCAGTGAATGCCGAAAAACCCGACTCTGCTGGCATGGCTCTCAAACCTAGCAAAACGACGGGTAGCGCGCGCAGCCACTCTTGCTTGCGCGCCCGGATGGCAGCTTTGAGCGTTCGGTGGACTCTTTCCACCATCCCATTACATGTAGGATGATAAGCAGTGGTTCGGAGGCGATGGAAACCTATCATTGAAGACAAGTGTGAAAACAGTTCTGATTCGAATTGGGAACCGCGGTCTGTGCCAACATGCAGCGGAACTCCGAATCGGGACACCCAAGTGTCGAGGAAAGCAGAGGCTACACTTTCCGCGGTGATCGAGACCAACGGCACGGCCTCGACCCAACGCGTGGCGCGATCGATGCATGTCAACAAATAACGAAATGGCGCGGTGAAGGGGTGCCCGTGGGGTACTGACGGGGGCAGCGGCCCGACTATGTCTATATGTACAGTTTCGAACCGCTGCGAGGGCACATCGAATCGACCGGGCGGAGAACGAGTGTGCCTGTGCACCTTGGCTTCCTGGCATGCTTCACACTCCTTCACCCATCGCGCAATGTCACGGCGCATATCATGCCAGAAATAGCGAGAGCTGATGAGACGGGTGGTGCCTTTCCTACCCGGGTGTGACAGGCCGTGGAAACGATCAAACACGGCGCGCCTGCACGCCTCTGGTACGTACGGGCGTGGATGTGGTCCAGTGTTTTCACACAGGACTGTGATGTCGCCAGACAGTGTTACTGGTTCCAATCGGGATGTGTCCTGCGGCTTTGAGCGCGAACCTGGACCTGACTCGGAATCCTGGTGCTCTGAATCGGCACTGCCGGCGCCTCTCTCCTTTTCCTGTTTCTGAGCCGCTGCGATAAAATGGAGGTCACATGCATCGAGGGACACTGCATTTACCGGGCGACTGAGGCAGTCCGCCACCACGTTGTCACTGCCACGAATGTACGAGACCTCCGTGATGTATTCCGTGATGACACACCAGTGGCGCTGTTGGCGGTCAGACTTAGCCGTGTGTGGGCTGTGAAAAGCGCGCACGAGTGGCTTGTGGTCCGTTCGCAGGGTAACGTGGCGGCCTTCGATCATGTCACGAAAGTGGAGTGTGGCCAGATAAGCCGCGAGTAGCTCTCTGTCATACGCGGCGTACTTCTGTTGGGCCTGACTGAGCTTCCGTGAAAAGAAGCCAATGGGAACGGGTACTCCGTCCACAATCTGATGGAGCGCGGCACCCACCGCGACTTGTGATGCGTCAGTAACGAGCTCGTACTGCTCGCAGTGTGGCACTGGGTGTGGCAGAGTGCAGGCGCCAGCCAGCGCTGCTTTACTGTCACTGAACGCCTGAGTCTGTTCCTCTGTCCACGTCAGTTCTTTGCTTTTTGGGTTGAGTCGAATCAGTTCGGTCAGGTGGAACGTGACATCGGCGAATCGCGGAATCATACGCCGGTAGAAGCCGATGAGTCCCAGATAGCGACGCAGTGACTCTGAGTCATGCGGTAGAGGGAGGTCCAGAATCTCCTTCACTCTGGCCTTGGGAGGTGTGACACCTGTGCTGGTGACGTCATGACCGAGGAAAATGAGTGACTTCTTCATGAACTCGCATTTCTCCAGTGAGATGCGGAGCTTGTGCTCAGCCAGCTTGCTGAACACGAGGCGCAAATCTTTCTCATGCTGCTCCTGGTTCTCGGAAAATACCAGAATATCGTCGAGATAGACGAATACGCACGGCACGTCTCGGAAGATGCCGTCCATGACCCTCTGGAATGTGGCACCTGCGTTGCGAAGCCCCATTGGAATGAAGGTGTATTCGTACAAGCCGAAGGGCGTGGTGACGGCCGTCTTCTCTGAGTCAGCGGGGTTCATAGGCACCTGGTGATATGCACGGAGCAGATCGATTTTGCTGAACCACTGAGCGTTGTGGAGCTTGGTTGAGAGGCTCTGAATGTGCGGCAGTGGGTAGCGGTCCGGTTTGGTTACGGCGTTGAGCGCGCGGTAATCACCGGTGACACGCCACTCACCAGGGGTACTCTTCGGAACCATGTGGATGGGTGAGGCCCACGGGGACCTAGACGGACGAATCACTCCTGTTTTGAGCAGCACATCGAGTGCTTGCTTTGCTGCGGTTAGTTTGTCGGGCGGCAGCTTGCGTGGGCTGGCGAACGTGGGTGGAGCGCTGCCGGTGTCGATGAAGTGAGTGGTTTTGATTGGCGAGTCTGTGTACTCCGGCTGGTTAGGGCTGAGAACAGCGGGGTGATCCTCTAGGATGGGCCGCACTGCCTCAGGCACCTGAGCGAGATCATTTATCACCAAATGAACCGACTCCCCGGTCGTCGGTACACCGGGAGCAGAGAGCAGAGTGGTGGAGTCGCGGAGAACTTGGGAACCACAATCGACAACCAACGAGTTGTGAGCGAGAAAATCGTTACCGAGTAGTGGCTCTGTCACTTCAGCCACTACCAATGTCCATGTGTAACTGCGTCGGAGTGTGGGGAGGACAATATCGAGAGTGGCCTCGCCATGCACGCGCAGTGGCTGCCCGCTGGCAGTCGTGATCGAAACAGCGGACGGGTGAATTAGAGTTCCATTCACATAGGAGGGTGGAACCAGGGATACACCAGCGCCAGTATCCACGATGAATTTCAGGGGCTGATCATTCACCTTGGCTGTGACCCTAAGGAGCGGCAGGCCGAGGGCTGCGTTTACGGCCTGCTCCTCTCGTTTCCCGACTCTGAGGCTGCACGGGAGGGAGATGCAGCTCGTGAGGACGGCTGCATGGTCAGATCAGCAGCTTTGTCGGGCCAGTGACACCATGGCTTGCAAGTGCGTGCTCTGCTGCCGAAAAACAGGTGAGCACGGCATACTTTCGGCTTCTGGTCAGGGTGGAACGGCGTGAGACCGAGAGACGCTCTTGAATCACGAGCATCACGAGCAGGGGAGTGTGTGGCGGCTCGGCTCTGTGGCTGAGTGGCCCTGTGGTACCTTGGGTGCTGCTGAGCCACAAGGAACGCCTGTGAGTCAGACTGTGGGTCCTGATCCTGACAGTGAACCATGTTAGCAGCTGAGTTTTGCACAAGAGGTATCAGTTCGTCCGCGAGTTTGCCCAACTGCGACAGTGAGAGCTCGCGCTGAGAAGCCAGGGCCGTAGCAATGCCTGTGGGTAGCGACTGGATAAATTTGTGCCGAACGAGATCGTCTCCGACACCAACCTTGTCGGCCACCTCTCTGAGTTCGCTTAGAAAGAGTGAGGGTCGGCCCGTCAGACGCGTTTTGCTGATCAGTTTCTCAAACATCTCTGGCTTTGTCTTTTCGTACATGTCAGTGACGGCTGTCTGTAGCTCAGAGAAATTTTTGTTGCTCAAGACAGCACGCGGAATGTGCGAGATGGTTTCCGGAGGCAGGGCAGAGAGAACGTGGTAGAATTTGGTCTGCGAGTTGGTGATTTTGGCAATGTTAAATTGGGCGTCCATAATGGCAAACCAGCCGTCAACCGCGGTGTCCATAAAAACCGGCGGCTTGATCGACACATGATGGACCGGCTCAGCACGAGCGGGTTCCATCGTGCCCTCGTTCGTCATGATCGTTAAAGTATAGCCGGTGTTTGCAATGCACTGAACAATTAAAATTATAACACCGAGTGCAAAATCCGAAAGAGCAAATGGAACGCCGAAATAAAATCACCGAGACGATAAATGCCTAACTAATCACACGGCGGAGAGATGGCACAGAAACCATCATGGAAGAGTGGCGCAGAAGCCACTGTGGAGCGACGGAATAGCAATCCATGTGGGGAATAATATAAAATAATTGATTCGGGAATGAGCGGAGGCGACAACCCGGAAGTATGGAAAAATCGAACAAGAATCACGTCGGCGGTCACCAATATGTGGTGCCGTGGGGCAGTTCACCACATATCAGTGACTGGATTTTACGTTAATCAGAAATGGAGAATATAAACCTGGTGCGTGTTCCAAAAATTCAATCAGTTCGATCCAAACGGCCCCAAGTAAAAGAATTAATTTAAGGAGCGGGTTGTTATATTTAAATTACCAAAACGAAGTCAAAAACCAAAACAGCGAATCAGACAATGGAGCGACGAAGAGACGAGAATGAAATCCAAGTTTGCCAAATATGCCCTGCCTAATCTAAGTTATAAATCCCGGACAGAACGGGCCAAATCGCGGAGCCAGACGTGACGCGTCTGCTCGGGTCAAGAGCTCGGCCTAGAAGTCCCTGGGAGCGCGCGGCCCGACGCAGCGGGCCGGGCCCAGACATGCGCAGAAGCACTCGGACACCACGTGGCTGCCGATCGGAGCGCGGATTGGTCACTGGCCGACGCACTGCGGCAGCGCAGGCCGCAGCCACGCGGTCGCATCGTGATGGGACAAAGTTCACGAACAGACACGTCCTGGGCCGCCCCCCCAGCGCCGGGGCGGGGTAGCGACGTCACAAGTCGGCGCGCGAATCGGTCTGCGCCGGGAACTCCCGTGCCGGCCGGCGACACACGTGGTTACCACAGTAGCAGGCATCATGTACCTATGATTTAACTGTCCCTCAAATTTCATCAGCCAAAATAAAACGCATCATTTGTATGACCAGCTTGAGCCGTCAAAGGTGCAATTAGTCACGTTACTCAAAATTCAATCAAAACTTACGAATTCGCAGAATAAACAGGATCTAGCAATCTAATTCACAAATATGGAAAATTGTGGATAAATAGACCACTACACACCATCCACTCTACATCCAATCCAATCTTCATCATCTCCCCTCACAGATCTTTTCCACATGCCCGGCCTTGTAACACTTATCACCTATTTGAAGGTGATTACCTACGTCATAGAATCAAAGCCAATCTGCGATACCAATTGGTTTTCATTTCATTAATTACATCAAACTACAAAATGATTGGCTTATTGTATTGACGTCATCAAATAGATTTATTGATAATAAATGAGAAAATATGCGCAATAACTGCCTCCAAAACGAATTAAGAGATATGTTCAATAGCACAAATTTTATTATCGGCAGGCAGCCGTTCCCAGGCAACTGGAAAATTAAATCGCTAATTGCTAGGCAACGAGCACTTCATCAGCCAACTCTCGCTCGATAGCGGAGAAGTCGAACAGAGCAAGGCTATATAAACCTAGGGCCCCACTGATCAAATATTATGTGATTAAGTAGGCTTTTTGGTTCGATTGGTTCGAGATCAAGATATATAAGTGTGTAAAAGTCGGGCGGGAAATCAGGTTGAGATAGGAATCTTGGTTCTAAGAGTTTCCTAGCTTGTATCAGGTTGAGGTTGTAGGTACCTATGCAACTTTGACTTTCGACCAACTTTACTGTTACTGATAGTATGATACTGACGCCTTGCTTTGGGGGTGGGTTCTTGTTTTTACATTTTATTTCAATTTGCGTGCTCTGGTTTCGATTGAGTCTGTGAATGTACTCTGAATTGAACACCATTTAATGGTGTTACTAACACTAATGGTGACCATTAGTGTTCAAGCCACTACATCAGTAGGCGGAACTTTGGTCAAGCGTACCCATTTTCGGGAACGCATTTTCGTTCCCATGTTTGGGAACGATTAACCCAAATATGGGAACGCCATGCAGGCATTATTTAAAACAAGAAAAATAACCGTTAAATGACGTCCAAAAAATATAAAACGATCGTGAACCGCCTGATATTTGTCTCAATATTGTTGGGAAAGAGTCTGATATTGTAAGGCTCATCGTAGTTTCAAATCGTTCCCCTATTTCTAAAGCAGTCCATCACCCGGGCCGCGAGCCCAAATTTGGGAACGCTCTCGTACACTGGCGCTGCAAGCGTTCCTTATTATGGGAACGGCGTACCCAAAATTGGGAACGATTTCACCGACGCCTTTTTCGAGGCTCTTTTCATTAACAAGCATCACGACCAATGCCGCAAGTTATTGTTAACGCAACAATCATAAGATGATCTTTCCGGCAAGACCGCCGCATGTTTCGCCGGATCTTCTGCGCGATCTTATTCCCGTCGATCCCGCAGCGGGCACGCTGCGAATTACGTAATCTGCAGGATTACGCAATTCACAACGCTCAGCGACGTTCAACAAGGTCTTCCATACCTATATCCACCGTCCACGCCGAGGATGGAGGCATTTCAAGCACCTGTCTGTTTAACACTGATAGTTGACAAGCACAAGTAAGCATCCAAAAATGGGAACGCTGAATATGTTTCACTCTCAAAACACCTAGTCCCAATACAAGTCTAGTTTCTTCCTTTCTTAATGAGTGTAAGTGGCAAAACGCCTGGCAGGATGGGCACGAGAAATGATCGAAATCAGCATAAAAATTATAAATAAGCAACACAGAGCGACCTATATAAAAGAAATTCCCCCAAAACGATCATGCTTAGAAAAACCGAAGACAAAAACCACGCTCATGACGTTCCTTAAAAACAACGCTAAACAGCTAGCATCCAAATAAAATATGTCTTTCGGGGCTGATAAAATACGGCTGAATAATTTTCGACCACTTAAACTGAGTTTACAACAGTAGTTCGGTAAAATCACGCACGTTCTACGCGGTCGTCCGCCTCGACACCAAATGTCAACAATTTACCTCGGGACTGTCCGCGTGTTCGCTTGCATATGTCAGCATCTGGTGTCGCTAATATGAAACTTCATAACCAGGCGAAAATTATTATACTTGACCTCAAAATGTAAAAAACGATTCATTTTCCTTAAAATTGCATGTTAAATGTAGTATAACCCATGTTTTCACCATTCCGTCATTTAAAAAAAATCATTAAAAATATCATTCCACGGTCAATTTCCTTGTTCAACGGTCAGATTAAAGATAATTTTATAGAGATTTAGTAGATACTTAAATTAGCATGCACTTTTTTGAGACGTGATGCACTAATGAGTTTTAGTGGGCGAACGGCCGAAAAATTACCTTCCGTTCTCATAAATGGGAACGCCCGTTCCCATAATTGGGAACTCCGTTCCCAAAAATGGGAACGTTCCTATATTTGGGTACTCATGACCATAGTTCCACCTACTGACATAGGTATCCTCTGAACGTGAACCTTGACCTCTGATGGCGGACTCATGTTAAAAGCTGCCGATTGCCACAAAACTTTCAGTGCCCTCGCATTAATCAATTTTACACCTACCCTGAAAATTTCATGACCCTGACCCAATTTATGACCTTTGACCTTTGACCTAGGTACTTTTCGAGACCATGTTTGGCCGGCATCGCCATTTGGCGTATGTCAGCTCGCATTAGCTGCGCGTTTTCAGTCTTTTCGTGGTGTCAAGCATTCAAACATGTGTTATGATGCTGGTCCCATGCATAAGGGTTGGTGTCAAGGTCATTTGAAGCTCAGATCAAGTCATTGACCTTTGATGACCTCGGTTCACTTTTTCGAGTTTTACATGTTTCTAGGTTAGTTTTTTTTTTTAAAAGCTGAATTCGAATTTAGCAACCATTTAAACATTTACAAAGAAGTTTTGGCCCCTTCGTAACATGACATGAAGCTGTCAGAGGCGGTTGGCACGTACTACGAATATGCGACGTACTAGGAATGCTCGATAGTTGACTTGACCTGACCTGACCTGGCCTAAATGCATGAAGACATCATCTGTGATAAAAACTAACATGATATTCGTTATCAGCACCCCGAAAACCCCTATAGCAGCCGCACTTAACGACGCTCTAACAGGTTCCGATTTTCCCGACTTTTGGCCGGGTCATTGACCTAACCTGGTCAACCAATGACCTAGAACCTTAAAATTGGGTACCATCGGCTTCCATTCGTCACGGGCAACACGCTTTTTTCGCAAAGCTCTAGCTCGATCAAGGGCCAAACGGCGAGAGGGGTCCAACGGACGACGGACCCCCTCCCCCATACGTTCGAGGCTGGCAAAACACCAATGTGGGCCAAGGTTAAGCCAATTTCTATGAATTGATGTGCCGCGCTAGGTCTGCATTTGCCACCTGGTGCAGAAGGTCCTCAGTGAGCGGAGCTGCGACCTTGGTTAGCATCTGCGCTTCCAGCGCCGTGCGGCAAGCCGCAACTGGTACAACGTCCGCCTCGGCCGTGACCCCATGGTGGGGGACCGATCCGATGCAGTTGGTGACGAACTGCGGCGCGCATCTCACGCCCCAACACCTCCATGTCAGTCCTGGCCGTCGCTGGCAGCCAGGCGGCCGTTGTGTGTTCGATGGCCTCTCTGACGTGGCCGATGGCGACAGCTCGGGGCTGCCGCTCCTCCGTGCCCAGCTGCGGCCAGTGATGTGTCGAAGTTGGGCGATGTGGGGGCGGACACGGCAGCGAAGGTTGCGGCAGTGCGGGCCGAGCCCCAGGGTCCTGTCCAGCACCACGTACTTCACGCCGAGCAGTCTCTCAGCTCAGGGCCGCCTCCCTTCCGCCATCTTGCCCGCCACACGGTTATGGCAACCGATGGCGTCTCGGTGGCCTTGCGACAGGACTAGAAGCTTACTTTTCTGGCTGGCTACTTCCGTCTTGTCCCGGGCCCATCTGAACAGGGTGTCCGCCGCTCGCTACGCCCGCTCCCATACAGCGTCGATCTTGTTGTCCGAGCAATGTCAGAGGGTGTCGTCCACGAACACGGGTGGCGTGGTTCCTGGCAGAGGGCTGACGCTAGCGGTGCCGACCACAACAAAAACAATACTCGGGACAGAACACTGTCCGGAGGAGCAAAGCGCAAAACGCTTGTCGAAGGAATAGCCTCGTCGAGGAGAAAAGGATCGATTTTGAGAGGACAGAGTTTTGTGTAGGCTACCAGGACAGCTACAAAATCATGATCTAAGTTTCAAAGCCGGCTCCTATTCAGAGCAGACAACCTACCTACAGGGTGATCCAAAAAATTTGGAACCCCTAAATCAAAATGTCTATAAGTCCAAAAGTATTCACTTTATTGAAAAATTGCAAACACCATTAGAAAGAGCATTAAATCCTCTATAAAATCACGTCAAATTAGTGCATGTATGTTGTAAAGCACTGACACACTATAAGCTTTTGGGATGAGCGTCAGAAAACTGAGTGAAACGAAATCGCCAATTGTTAACAATGCACTGAATCCGTTAGCACTCCATCTGTTGTTTTTTGCGAATAACACCACATCCAATTTAAATTTTATTACATAAAAGTTTACACAGAAGCACACAATAGAACAGATACACGCGTCCTAGTTCCGCTGTTCATCCCAGCATGTGCTCAAAGCGAGCTCCGTGGGCCGTCACGCAGGCCTGCAGTCGCTTCGGGACGGCTCCGACGGCGCAGGCCAGCAGTCAGTCTCTGGGACAACTGATCCTAGCAGGCCGTCAACCTTTCCTTCAACTCCTATATGGTGCTGATCCTCTGACCTCTATGCATAATTCGCTCCAGTTCGCTCCACACGAAGAAGTCCAAAGGGTTGAGGTCAGGACTCTTCGGTGGCCAGGCATCTGGCTCGATGATGGCCGGGCAGGCTTCCAGAAACTCGACCACTGAGTGGGCCGTGTGGCACGGGGCACCGAATGACTATATTTTTTTTTTTTTGCTCCTGTTGAAATTCATTTTTTTTACAAAAGCACGTGAATGAGCTATTTTTATTCATGAACATCCAACATGCGACATGGTCAGAACGTGGTCAGAACAGCAAACCGCAAATCACTGATTTGCGCATAATGTTCAAAACCGTTTCAGTGAGTTTCGTGACACAAATTTTATAGGCATATAACTGGGGCAATATTTATAGTAATAATTAAGTTCAATCAACTTGGTTTTATAGAGAATTGAACGCTCTTTCTAATGGTGCTTGCAATTTGTCAATACTGTGAAAACTGTCGGACTTCCGGACATTTTAATTTAGGGGTTCCAATTTTTTTGGATCACCCTGTATATAAATCTATTTTTAAGTCGTGCAATTTTAAACTCCATGAGTGACTCTTACCCCAGATTCTGATGCATGTTTCGGAGTCTGAACAGTCAGTTCCGTGACTGCTCAGTTATTTTCTAGAGTCAAGGCAGCTTGGACGGTCCCGACTCAGACTCTTGGGTTGTTGTTATAACTCCAAGTGACTTCGACTCCAAAGCTCTGATGCAAAGTAGATGTTGATGAATTATCAGCTTGTATTGCAAGCTTCATGGTTCAAGGTGGCTTGCAAGGTTGCCAGGTTACAAGCTTGAAGGTTTTGGTTTCATTTTTTCGAATGTATTGTGCTAACTGCTATCCCTTTTTTATTGCAATGTTTGACTATTTCCTCAGTAGTACAGGTGGATAATCACTGACAAGTATCAGCACCTTTTTCAGGAGCTGGTAGGTGGCGCCGTTTCACTGTCAGAAGCTGATCTACCCTTGCTGTTCCCGACCGGCTGGCGTCTCTGCTCTCCCCCGCGCCTGTGACTTGGCCGGCAGCGCTGCGCCGCCATGGCCGACCGGCTGACGCAGCTGCAGGACGCCGTCAACGAGCTGGCCGAGCTGTTCTGTAACAGTGTGGGCATCCTGCAACAGCAGGCGGCGCCCGGCCACTTCCCCGGCTTCGACCGCGCCGGCGGCCGCACGCCGCAGCACGTGCAGCCGGCAGAGGACTACGCCCAGCTGTTCGCCACGCTTATCGGACGCAAGGCCAAGGACATTGACACGCTGATCGACTCGCTGCCCAGCGAGGACTCCTCCACCGAGCTGCAGGTGAGTGGATCCCCCCACACCGAGCTGCAGGTAAATGGACCCTCCCCCCCCACTCACACACGGAGCTGTAGGTGAGGACTCCTCCACTGAGCTGCAGGTGAGTGGATCCCCCCCCCACACACACACACCGAGCTGCAGGTAAACGGACCCCCCCCCCCCTCCACTGAACTGTAGGTGAATGGACCCCTCCCACACCCACACCGAGCTGCAGGTAAATGGACCCCTCCCACACCGAGCTGCAGGTAAATGGACCCTCCCCCACACACACACACACCGAGCTGCAGGTAAATTACCCCCCCCCCCACACACACACCGAGCTGCAGGTAAATGGACTCCACTCACACCCACACCGAGCTGCAGATGAGGACTCCTCCACCGAACTGCAGGTAAATACCCCCCCCCCCCACCCCACCCCCACCCACACCGAGCTGCAGGTGAGGACTCCTCCAATGAACTGCAGGTAAATGCCCCCCCCCCCGCCCCCCCCCCACCGAGCTGCAGGTAAATCCCCCCCCCCCCCGCCCCCCCACACCGAGCTGCATGTAAGGACTCCTCCACCGAACTGCAGGTAAGTCACTCTGCTCTCAGAGCTATACAAAGTACGGGTGAATGGAAACTCCTCCACCAAAATGCAGAAGATAACTTCCTCACCGAACTGTGACGGAGATCCCACTATCACTGACGACCCCGTGAGGACTCAGCACCTCTCATTAAGAAGTGGGAGCAACTGCTGCTGTATGGCACCTCGCTGGCACTGTATTCAACTCCGAGCCCACCGCTGACCGGGCCACCTCTACCGGCAGCTGTCCGCCCTGGAGCTGCTCGAGCGGGAGAACGAGGCGGCCGGCCAGCGGCTGCGGGAGGTGGTGTCCCGCGGCGAGCAGCTGCTGCAGCGGATCCAGGAGGCGCTGCACGATATCGCGCAGAGCCAGCTGGACACACAGCTGCTGCTGGCCGGACACCGGCCCGAGCCGTGACCGGAGCGCGCGCCCGAGTGTACACCGGTGGGTTCGCGGCGAATGGACGCTAGTGGGTATGACGGGGAGAGGACGTCTTTTGACGGCACCCCTACCGCCTGGACATGGTCAGTGAGGGGCGGCGCTCGCCGCTGGAAGGTGCAAAGAGCAGTGGACGAGGAACTTGCCGTGCGCTGAAGAGACGCGCTGTGTTGTGTTGAGAGACGATGTTGGATGTGTGGGGGAATGGGGGTTGTCTAGCGCTCTTTTGTACGTTTGTCCCATACGTTTTCACAGGATGAGGTGAGGGAATGGCTCGGCGACATCTCACATTGAAGATGCACGTTCTTAAACGTATCGTAAACGCGAATGCTGTGTGGTGGCATTTGTGTAAACGTATTAGCACGAAAGGTACAGCGGTTTGAATCTTGTCGCTATCCTTGAAAGGTCATTATCATTCGTTATCATTTTGTTTTGAACTTCTGTCTGGCCATTTATATTCGAGAGATTACGAACTTCTCTAATTTATGCCGATTCATTCATTCTGAAATTGAAATTGAGTTTTTTTTTTACACAATTCGTGACGGCTTTGCTGAATCAGACACGTCACTGGGTGTAATCCGGATGCGTTGGGCTATATTTATTGTCTCGGTGAACATGAAATTGTTCAGTTGATAACATATTTTGCGAATACATTTGTTGAGACTGTACTATTTATCCCGTCCAAAGTATCGGACCGCTTTTTATCCACTGCTTCCGATAGCGGCTCATTACCAAAGTCAGCACGTTTTTGGGGTGTAAATCAACGACATGAATCGTCGACACGTTTTCAGTCTTAACGAGTCCTCCTTTTGTGGCCCTGTTGTTACACTTCCTGCGAATTTTACATCGACTAATGCACTGACGTCCTAAAGTTGTTACAAATTGCTGCCTGCACCGCAGTGTTTATATCGATAATGTGATTGCGATCATCTCTGGTTTCATCAAATTGTTTTCGTTGCGAAACTACGGATCCTCTGCTTGCCCATTATGATGCTGTTCAAGGGCACTACGAGCCACAAGCCTGTCACCTCTATATGTTCCTTATACGTACTGGCGTAGACCTTCGTGGGTTTCTTTGATTTCGCACCAAGAGAGCAGCGATGGGCAAGAAGAAAGGAAAGGGGAAGAAGAAGAAGGCTAAAGAGCCGAGTAAGGATCCGAAAATCACCATTGCCGAGTACCTGTGAGTATTGCTTCTGTTGCCCCCCCCCCCCCCCCCACGTACACACTCTAGTGTTGCTGATTGAGTTGAGCTGATTCAGGCCATATGTTTCAGATAGCGAGATCCCTACGTCCACAGATAGTCCTTATTCAGCCATCAGCCATCTAAGGTTGCCTAATTTAGTGTCTGCCACAGTGTCACCCCTCCACGCCTCATATGACGTGATTTCATCTGGCAGGCTGGACTGCGGGACGCAGAAGAAGCTTCGTCTGATGGAGAACGCCAAGGAATGGGAGGACGAAAACCGAGAGCTTAAGACCCAGGTACCTAGGTAATAACCATCCTGCAGTGTCCCTGACATGGCATCCAAAATTAAGTTACATCAACCCATGACTCAATTTCGAACAGAATTGACATCAACCCATGACTCCATCTTGCCCTGTTGACTGCTGCCTGGATGTGACCGATTCACCGCCCCAACGACCTTGTCTTGGAATACGGCCCACAGCCTCACACCCGCCCCTAATTATCTCGTACCGCGCCGTCCGTCAGGTGGGCGGCCAGCGGTCGGAGCTGGACGCCACCATCGCGTTCCTGCGCCGCCAGGAGGGCTCAGAGCGGCGCGCCTGTGACGAGGACGTGGCCGCGCGAGACGGCGAGATCGGAGAGGCGGAGGCGCAGCTGCGCGCCGAGCAGCGCCGCCACGAGCGCGCAGAGTTCGGTTAGACGCCGGCCGGCCGCGGGTGGGGCGGGGCAGAGAGGTCCGGGGGGAGGGACCGGGACACCGCGCTGGTCGTAGGACACCCCATGGAGTGCATGAACGAAAAAAATGTTTCCCTCCCAGGGATTAACGTAAATCGCTTATCCCTTAGAGTGCGGGAAAAAAGGACGGAGAGGGTGGATCCTTAAGAGGGCTAAACGGGTTGATAGGTGGAGAGGGTGAAGCCGTGCATGCCTCGTGCCTTGTATTTGGTGACATCGGCCTGTCCCGGCTACCCTAACACCGCGCCCATGCCCCTCAGAACTCAGTTGGGACCCTAACACGTCCGCGCCTGTGCCCTCAGAACTGTCTGAGGAGGCCTGTTTCTAACATCGAACCTGTGCCCCTCAGATCTGTCGGAGGAGGCCTGTTCCTAACATCTCGTCTTTGCCTCTCAGTTCGGAGATTCGTCCCTAACACCGCACCTCTTCCCTCAGAGCTGTCGGAGGAGCTGCGAGAGGTGATGATGGAGGCGACCGACAAACAGGAGCAGGTCGACTTCTGGAAGAACTACCCCTTCAACCAGAACCTGGAGAAACGAGAAAAGATAAAGTGCCTGAAACTAGGAATTCAGCAGATCGATCAGCTTCATGACGCATTTGAAAGTGAGCGTCAACTTACACTCAGTTTGATTCATCCGAGTCATTCGAATCGATTTTTTTTTTACAAAATGCTTCGATAAACTCCGCTGCTGAATCTGATTTGTTCTAGTCGACAGTGGACATCCAACTCCGACTACCAGTTACGTTTCCATGATTGGTACAACGCGCATTCACATTCGGTGAGTTCGCGCTGTGTCTTTCGGTAACCAAAACCCGTTCAACTCACACTAAGTCTGACCCGTGATTCCTCCAACCCTCGTCCGCCACTGACACTCACCTCCCACATCTCCGTTCGGCAGCCCAGCTGGACGGCAACTTCCGCTACATGCAGAACTACCTGGTGTCGGGCCACGTGCGCCGTCTGGAGCGCGCCAAACGGAGCGCGGCGGCGCGCGCGCTGCGTCACGTCTCGTTGAGCGACCACAGCGACCTGGTGGCGCAGGCGGCTCTCTGTCTGCAGAGCGTCATCAACCACCAGCACGGCGACACGCTGCGAGACCACATGGACTGGATCGGTGAGACATTAGATGCATTGGATCCGTGAGAGACATGGACTGGTTTAGTGAGAGTGGGCTGGATCGGTGAGAACTGATGGACTGGATCGATCCGAGATAGACTGGATCGGTGAGCGGGGTGGGGAGGAGAACCTGCCGGAGGAGGCGAGTGAGAGGCGGATCAGTGAGCCAACTCTGCCCCACAGCTGCCCATTTGATGGATGTGTGCCGGACGGCGAGCCCTGTGATGTAGGTGGGCTACTCTCAGTCCCCCTAAACTGGCTTCCCTGACGCTCTCCTCTGCTCCCACGCCGGCAGAGGGCCAGAACTCGTCTCTGAAGCACTCGCTGGCGCCGCTGCGGCGTCTGGACCCGCCGGCGGTGGCCTCCGCGCCGTCCGGCTCTGACTGCTCCATCTTCCGTACGGAGCCGGCGCCGGCGCCGTCGGACGACGGCGGCCCGCTGCGACTGCGCGTCGAGGGCATCACGCACCTGCTGACGGCCGCGCGGCCCTCCTCCGCCGAACGGGCGCTCATCGACCACGTGCGGGACACCACGCTGGAGCGACTGCGGCCGGACGAAGACGAGCAGCGGGCGCGCGCGCTGGCCAAACTGGTGCGGCCGGCGGCCAGCGAGCACGGCGGCTCGGACGACTCGCTAAGCCACTCCGGTTCAGAGTCTGACGTCAGCCGTCTCAGTGACGACCAGCTGCTGCCCTTCGAGTCGCCCATTCAGGTGAGTCGGAGAGTTGCCCGTACGGCCGTGAGCAGATTTTAGAGCATTTATCAACTGTAGCTATCACCAAAATGGGAATGTAGAAGATGAATGTTTGGAGCCGCGTGTCACTAATCATTGAGTACAAGCGAGTCTCTGAGACAGTTTATAACGGTGCAAACCACGCCACACAGCCGTGGTCACTGGTTAGTGGTTAACCCCGACCTGTCCGTTCATTTCGGTCGTGTGCGGTACCACTTATTTCTCGGCTCGTTGCCCGCAGGTGCCGGCGTCGGTGCGCAGACAGGCGCTGCGCCCGTTCGAGGAGTGGTCGCGCCAGCGGCACTGGTGGCGCGTGCAGGCGCCACGGCCGCGCACCCGGCGCTGGCCGGTCACCGGGCCGCACCTGGCGCTCTACGCCGACCAGCCGCCCGTGTTCGACCTGTCCGGGCCCAAGGTGATCAACGAGAGCCCGTCCGTGTCGTCGGCGCACATCTCGGACGACTGGGAGCTCGGCAAGGTGGGCTGGCAGGAGCACCTGCGGCGCCGCTCCGTCATCAGCGCCGACAGTGCCGGCGCCGGACTGGACGCGCCGCCGGCCGCCGGCCGCGCGCACAGCGGCGCCCTGGACGCCAGAGCCGGCTCCTCGCGGGCCGCGACTGGGAGAGCCGGCGGCACGGCGCCACCTGCGGCCCGAACTGGGAGGGGGTCGGCCACGGGACGGCCCTCGGGCAGCTCACTGGCCAAGAGCTCCTCCAGGAGCGAGGTGAAGACAAACGCATCGAAACAATCGATAACCAGTGCCAGTTCATCGAAAAGCGTCACGACAAAGGCTTCCTCCAAAGCGACATTGAAAACTGTCTGAACAAAATACTGACGATAAATTATTTCCTTCTTGTGCATTCAATGACTTTTTTTTTGCAAAATGATAGAATCTGCAAGTACCTGTATTTAACCGGCGACGGAATACACAGTCTATTGCACCAAATACATGGCAAAATCCACCAGTCATTCGCCTTTCGATCACGGTCACAAGTTGTCCATTCAACAGTAGCGGCTCGAAAGTCGAAACCATCGTCGGCACGACACAACGTGTCAATATAAAAGTGGTGCGCACGACAAATGCCAAACTTCACATGGGGTGTCCAAAATCAATCCAACCTGATCTCACAAGTGGAACAGTGGCCATCGGCTCAAAACGGCCAATATCACTAACACACGGCAGCAAAACGGGCACCAAAAGGATGTAAGTCAGTAGACACGGACAAAAGTCAATGCCATCTGATAACAAGGCCAATATTCGACATCTTTCCAACAAGCATCGTCTTATAATGGCATGACAACGAACTTTCACGAAAAAAATTGACAATTCACACGGATCGACTGCGATTCACTCTTTCGACATCAATTCGCCCTGATCACCGTTTGACTCCCGTGTCGCCGGGGTGCCGGTCGGCCGTCCCTGACGGGAGCGGACGGGCAGTGTGCGCCGAGTCCGAGCGTCAGAAACGGCCAGCAGCTGTGGCTCACTGCGCCCGGCACCTGCAGCCAGTGGCCGCTCTGTACCCATCGAGCAGACACCGGACCTTACAACCCCGCCCCTCCCCACCTCTCTCACACACACACCGACACAGCGCCCCAACTGTGCGACCCTACGTGGAACGACCGAATCAGTCGGCACCATGGCCCACTACCCCGTCACCACGGGAGGGCTCCCAACCAGTGGTAACCCGCCACCCGCCCATGGTGAGCAGACGCATATCGTTAGCATTCGTTATTCAGGCCTAACCGGTCGGCTGGAAGACTATTTCTGTCCGACGAATATCACCTTGTCCTTGGACTCGGGCACGACTGGAGCGGCGGCGGCGACCGGTGCCGGGTCGCTCTCCGCGGCCGGGGTCTCCGACACCGGGCCGGCCGCGGCCTCCTCCTCTGCCTTCGCCGCCAGCCGCCGGGCGCGACCGCCCAGATACTCGTAGTTGATAAAGCGGCCCAGCTGAAATAGAACGGCGTGACGTCACCAGTGACGTCAAAACAGCTGGGATACCAACGAGAGAACGGTGTTAAAGAGACGTTTGAGCGGGGCAATACAAAATCAGTTGTATTTCGCAAACACGTTGATCGACCATTTAAAAATAGATGGTCGGGACTGGCAGACTTCTCCACTGCTGATGAATGTCATGAGGCAACATGACAAGTTGCAGCATTCGATCACGGTATTATTGCGCAAACACTGCAGGACAGGCTCATGCTACACATTACGTACTGGCCAATAAACATTGGGGACGACCGCGTGGGCCGCTCAGGCGTCTGGACTCTGTCGCGACGTGAGGCACCAGACAGGGACTGTGTCGCCATACCTGGGTCAGTTGAGCGCACTCGTTGGTGAAGTGGCAGGCGAACAGCAGGAGGTTGCGCGGCTGCACCATCCAAGCAAAGCGCATGAACACGGCGCTGTAGCACGTCAGTGCTGAAATGGGAGCGATGAACGTTCATCAGAGCGGCATAACTCGAAGGTAGCTAAATGGGCTATAGGAAACCGCTATAATTTGGAGAATCAAAACCCAGCTGTTTCATAAATATGAAATTACCCAGTACCAGTGCTCGTGCCTCCTGCGGCACAAAGCGATTCGGTGAACACGGGCCAGTTTTCGATTCACGGCGACTGATCGCTCAGAGCCGAAACACTCAACCGGGTCCGAAGCCGTCTCGGCATTTTACGAACCCGTCTCTCTTGATTAAATGTAGGAACACAGATAAGCTGGGCAATTCACAAAATGATGTATACACTAGGTCACCCTCCCGCGCCTACCGGCGCTAATCGTCGTATATAGAAAACCCTGCCCGTCCTAGGTCACCCTCCCGCTCCTACCGGCTTTAATCGTCGTTTGAACATCTATATAGAAATCCCTGCCCGTCCCGTCCATAATGCCCGCTTCTCTCTCTCTGTCTCTCTGTGTCTCTGTGTCTCTGTGTCTCTGTGTCTCTGTGTCTCTGTGTCTCTGTGTCTCTGTGTCTCTGTGTCTCTGTGTCTCTGTGTCTCTGTGTCTCTGTGTCTCTGTGTCTCTGTGTCTCTGTGTCTCTGTGTCTCTGTGTCTCTGTGTCTCTGTGTCTCTGTGTCTCTGTGTCTCTGTGTCTCTGTGTCTCTGTGTCTCTGTGTCTCTGTGTCTCTGTGTCTCTGTGTCTCTGTGTCTCTGTGTCTCTGTGTCTCTGTGTCTCTGTGTCTCTGTGTCTCTGTGTCTCTGTGTCTCTGTGTCTCTGTCTCTCTCTCTCTCTCTCTCTCTCTCTCTCTCTCTCTCTCTCTCTCTCTCTCTCTCTCTCTCTCTCTCTCTCTCTCTCTCTGACTTTGTCGATCACTGATCCAATCGTATGCTTACTTACCCCTCCCCATCCGTCTCTCTCCCTCCTCTCCCCGTCTCCTTCATCGCACTTCTTCGCTCCCCTCCCTCCCTCCCTCCCTCCCTCCCTCGATTTCCTCCCCTTCCCTCCACTCCCTCCCTTCCCCTCCTCTCCCCTCCACTCCAATCCCCTCTTGGTACTGAAAAAAAAAGTACTGGCTAGTGGCTTCTTCCCCGCCCGCGCCGCAGATGCATATACGTTTTTATGTCCCAGTTCAAGACGCTATACGTATGTATATTGGTACGCTCGTAATAGGTCACCCTCCCGCGCCTACCGGCGCTAATCGTCGTTTGAACTATTTATATACACTGTGGTTTGAACATATATAAATCCCTGCCCGTCCTAGGTCACCCCCCCCCCCCGCGCTTACCGGCGCTAATATTCGTTTGAACATCTATATAGAAATCCCTGCCCGTCTTAAGTCACCCTCCCGCGCCTACCGGCGCTAATCGTCGTTTGAACATCTATATAGAAATCCCTGCCCGTCCCGTCCATAATCCCGTCCATAATGCCCGCTTTTTCTCTCTCTTTCTCTCTCTCTCTCACTCTCTCTCTCTCTCTCTCTCTCTCTCTCTCTCTCTCTCTCTCTCTCTCTCTCTCTCTCTCTCTCTCTATCTCTCTTTTCCTTTCCCTTTCTCACTCCCTCCCTGCGCCTCCATCCCTCTTCCCTCCCTCCTCTCCGCTCTCTGACTTTGTCGATCACTGATCCAATCGTATGCTTACTTACCCCTCCCCATCCGTCTCTCTCCCTCCTCTCCCCGTCTCCTTCATCGCACTTCTTCGCTCCCCCATCCCTCCCTCCCTCCCTCCCTCGATTTCCTCCCCTTCCCTCCACTCCCTCCCTTCCCCTCCTCTCCCCTCCACTCCAATCCCCTCTTGGTACTGAAAAAAGTACTGGCTAGTGGCTTCTTCCCCGCCCGCGCCGCAGATACATATAAGTTTTTATGTCCCAGCTCAAGACGCTATACGTATATTGGTACGCTCGTAATACTAAACATGATCGCTATTTTTTTCAGTATTTTGTGGAATTCTGTGACTAACCTATCCCAAATCTGAGTGACTCGCCCCGACCCTCCCCCGCCTTCCTCCCTCTGCACCCCCCCCCCCCCTGGACCCACCACTCACGATCGGTAATGTTTTCAGTGCTAAAGATATAATTATGCCTGCTCTGTTTCCGTCTCCGTCTTCCCTTTCTGCCTTTGTCTCTACTCTCTGTATCTGTCTCGTCTCGGATTCCATCCCCATCTCCGTCCCAGTTCCCGTCCCAGCTCCAATTCCCGCTCCCGCTCCCGCTCTCTTTCTCCGTCCCCGTCTTCATCCCCCTCCCGCTGACCGCTTCATCTCCGTCTCCGCCTCTGTCTCTGTCTCTGTATCTGTCTGGTCTCCGATTCCGTCGCCGTCTCCGTCCCCGTTCCCGCGCTCCCGCTCCCGCTCTCTTTGTCTCCGTCTCCGTCCCTGCTCCTCCACTACTGGCCGCTACATCTCCGTCTCCGTCTTCGTCTCCGTCCTGTCCCCGTGCCCTTCACCGTCCCCACTAAACATAATCGATAATCTTGTCAGTATTTTGTGGAATTCTGTAACCAACCTATCCCAAATCTAGGTACCTCGCCTCCCCCCCCCCCCCCGCCCGCCACTCAGGATCGGTAATGTAGTTATTCGTAGCGGCCGAGTGCTGCAACAAAGCTGTAAGCGCATTTTAAAAACGTCTTTCGGCTCCATCCTCTGTACTTGTTCTCTCCCCGACTCAATCATTTGCTCACTTGCCCTTCCTTCTCTCCCTCCATCATTTCTTTACCCCCTTCCCATGGCTGTATCATGCCGCATTCCCGCTGTCCGGCAGCGGCCGCTCTGACGGCACCGCAGTAACCGCACCAACCCCTCCGCCCGCTCGCCCCACACTGCGCCGCCGCCGGCCCGTGACTGCGGCCGGTCGGTCACGTGAGGACCGCAGCGACCTCTACGGGGTCGCGACCCTAGCGGCCGGGTACTGCAACTAAAGATGGAAGTACGTTTTAAAAACACCCCGAGCTGGAATCGAACCAGCGACCCATACCCCAGAAATCCACCACTCTACCAGCTGAGCCATCAAGGACGCAAGAGTTCACGCTTTGAATAAGCCATGGTACTCTGCACGGCTTGATGACATGGTCTGGTGCGTATTGCGGTGTTTTACGGCGAAGTGGTTGGGAGCAAATTTGGTTTTAAATGAAGGTTATACGCCATGTTTCTTGACCAAATTTTCAGAACAAGAGGGCAAAAGCAAGACAGTAGGCTGGAATTGGTTGTCCAGCGGCGACATGCACGTTTTATGATTGGCGATCGCCGGTCGTGTGAGCTGACGTCACGCAGACAGTCAGCGCCATCTCTGGAGCGTCTGGCGACATAGTCGAGGGGCCGAGTTTGGCTATTTGGGGGGTGCAAATGCGATTAAAAATGTGCCGCGCACATAGCCACGATCGAGAGCTGTCGATTGGTGGTTGAATCGTGTCTGTAGGTGGTGTGGTTTGGGCGGTTATCCCAAAAAACTGAAACGCTTCACGTATTATTTATTGTCGATATATGTAACCAGCATTTAGTGGACCTCACCAAACGTCATTTTTCCCGATATGATTTCCGGGTCTTTCTTGATGTCGGCTAGTGCTGCCAGCGGAATGCCCCAGTTGGCCACAGGCCCCCAAAAATGGGTGCTGCGAACACAATGGAGCACCTGTCAGTTTGTCATGGCATTGTGATGAATGCCTGGCTCCGTTGACATCAGTGATATGAGGCACAATCAATAATAAACAGCACTGACAATAACTAAGACACAGTAGTCTGATGTTGCATTCAGCTGTTGCTGTATTCTGAGGACTGGCATTGTACCCAGGACAGCCAAAACTTAACCCGCGACCTGGTGGGGGGGGGGGGGGGCTATTTTTTTGCCCCCATCCAGACTTTTCGATATATCTCCAGAACCGCTGCGCCGATCGTCACCAAACTTTCAGTACCCTCCCGGACATCAATTTTACACATTGTGACCAAAAATTTTTCCAAATGACGTCAGAGTGACGTCATGTTCTGCCGTTTTCGACCCAAAAAAAAAAGGGTTTCGCGGGAAGAGCTGTCAGGCCTATAGCTTTGCAAATACAGAAAAATGATAAAAGACATAAAAGCTGTAGAATGAACAGGGCTACAAAACTGCTATCTCGGATTTTTGAGATTTTTGGATTTTGACCCCAAAAATCAAATTTTTTTTTTTTGGATATGATAATCGAAAAATCCAAAAAGTTTTTTTGGATTTCGCAAAAACCGGAATATATGTGATAGTCCTTACCGCCTTCCATCCACATATTGAATTTGAGATTGATACCTCTTTTTTTGGCGAAGTTATAGCGAAAAAAACTGTTCAAAATTGATGACGTCAAATTTTCCAACTCAATTTTTAGCAATTCTAGACCCCGTAGCGCAAAACAAAGACCACCATTAGACTCCCCGTGACGAGCTGCATCGAATCAATACCCATTTTATGCAAAAGTATCAACTTTAAAATTTGACCTTTTTTGGCCTGACCTTGACCTGACCTTGACCTGCACTTCACCAGAAAGTGACCTAAGCCGTACCTGATAGTCTTATAACCAACACCATTGAGTTGGAAATGAAAAATTGGCCATAAAACATGCATCACACAACCATAGTACCTAAAGTTGGGCTCATGTGACCTGACCTGTGACCCTTGGTGACCTGACCTGTGACCTGAACTGGTATTGTCAGTGACCTCTAATAGCAACATATCTACTAGGCAACTGACGCCCTATCGCTGATTCTCGACAAAATGCGTTTTCCTCGGTGTTATAGCGCATTCCCCAGAAGACCCGTGAACGGTGAAACATTTCATCTTTGAACTGACCTGTGACGTCATCGGTGACCCCGAGGTCAATAAAATTTGGTTTCCTTCTACAAATTTGACAGGCCTTTCGAACGCCGTTTGAATTTTGCGGATCCGTCCAGTAGTTTCGGAGATACGAGGGGGGGGCAAAAAATAGCCCCCCCCCCACCAGGTCGCGTTATAAACAGACCCCACCAGGGCGCGGGTTAAGCAGCTGATGAGGCCTACAGCAAATTGAAGATAACCTTAATGAAGCACATAGTGCATGTACTTGTATGAGCATGGAAGACTAGCTCTAAAAAGCAAGAAAGAACATTACCCAACTACATGAGCCTACTGCAGTTAGCACAAAATTACATTTGTAATGTAGCTTTTGAAAGCTTTTAGGTACTGACTTTAGGAAGGCTTATTTGGTCGAATATCTAACAGATGCAGGATTAATGATTATGTTGGATCATCTTGTCAGTGTGCTGATGTCGGCTATCCTTTTAATCCTTTTAATCAGTTTTAACAATCTCAAATATAAATGTTAGGCATCAGGACATTACAGGCAGACCTGTCGCCACTAAGAAGCATGCACACAAACAGCAATCAAACTTACCTCATAAAATAATCCCTGGTTTCCTTGCTCTTTATGACATCCATAATTTTCTTTGTAATTCTTGAAGCTGCCATGTTTGGAGAGCTGAGTAGAGGAGCACCTGCCAAATATGATTTAATGTAGGCGTAACTGATCCCATGTGTCATGGTTAATATTTAGTTCACTAACTCATGCAAATGTCAATGAAAAATGGGGGAAAATATGATAAATATAGAGGTAAATGTGATCTTTTCAAAATATTGACTTTAAAGACATAATAATATTGTTTCTGAAAATAAGTGTCTGTCTATATAACCACCTTTTATTTGAATTCTATAGTGAGAAACTTTGCAGATATGAAACTTAACTTACTTTTGTTACCTATTTACACCCAGTTCCATTTCCAAGGCAATTTGCATTTTGCATTGGCACATTCTAAGTAAGCATTAAACCTATTATGATTTAAAGACATGTAAACAAAAAGCCAGAATGAAGTTTCTTGTACTTTTAATCAAAAAGTGCAAAAGCTAGAGGGATAATCCAATTTGAGGCCCTTCAAAATAAAAGTCACAATTTTGCTTATGTTTCCATGGAAATGGGCACTGACACCTGGTAGCTACAGGCAGGGAGCTACCAGGGAGCTCTGGCACTGGGGGAGGGGTCATGGGGGTCCAGACCAAATATTTTCACTTCCGTAAAGCAGCCTTATTTATAAAGGAGTGTATTTTTTTGGTTGGACCACTAAGTCCTGAAACCATGGCAGAGCTGAGGCTGCAGGCAGGTACCTGAAGCTGCAGGCAACAAATAATGTTCTGAGGACTTGAGGAGCCAGGGCCCTGGCCTCTTGGGAACAAATGTATCTTCCCAGCTCAGTGGTTTGTGTTGTTTGTCTGCATCAGTTGTCAGGTTAATGAATATGTTGCATTCTCATCATCACAGGCAAAGGTCAAGCACAGGTCACAGGAGCAAAAACCCAGCATTTGAGCTACACCTTCACAGTTCCCTTAGGTGAAAAGAGCGAATATTGACAATTTAATGGACATGGTATATTCAATGTTGAGAGCATGGAGCATTCCAGACATATTCCGCGTGTCTGGAATATTCCACAGTCAGATTCCACGTGGAATGTGCCTCTCCGAACGCACCATTGCAGGTAACCTACAGTGATAAACCACCGCACCAATCATGGGCAATTAATAATAATTAATAATTGATGCTAAGCACAAGCATGCTTAATAGCACTAATTAATACCATATGCACCAACTTACTAAGCAATAGCGTTACCTTTCAGTCGGTTTATTTGATTTGATATACCCTCAGCCACCCTTGAGTCCCCTGCTTGAGTGTAGCCAGTAACAGTTGGTAGCATTAGGCCAAATGGGCGCTCAAAAACTACTACCCCATAGGGTTTCCATGTTAAATTGACCTTTTTCAAGCGAGCCTCACACGTAAGCTAAAATATAAATTGCCAATATTATTGTGGGGAAAGGTAGCTTCAAGCCTCTCCTACAACCTTTCTATCAAGCGTTTTTCGATGCGGAGGCCATAACAGGTCCAAAAAGCATTGGGCGCTGCCCAAGGCAAGGCCCTATATACCAGGTAGGGTCGTCCGGCGATTCTACCTTTTCGTGACGTCAGCTCGTGACGTCATTTGGAGTCAAGTCTCGAAGCCCCGTTCAATCCCCATGTAAATGAGCGATTTTCGAAGCACTGTAGAATGAAGTCTGCACAAAATATATCAAACCTAAGTATCTTATCTGAAAGAGCAGACAATTTTCTGCAAGTTATCTATTACGTGTTTTTCGCTAAATCTTTTGCTTTTTTCACAAAAGCGTAAAATGTCCCCCCATGTCTCCGCAGCCTCCCTGCCGCCGGCCGCCGCGCGGTCGCGGTAGTGTAGTGGTTAGCGTGCCCGCGCAGTATTCCAAAGGTCCCGAGATCGAATCTATGCGGTGCGGAACTTTAATTGCAATTCCAAGCTGAATATACGCACATTCATAATAAATTCTTATTCGTATAGCTAAACTGTCACCAAGCTATCCATATAAATTGACTTCACCCAAAATATCGGCAAGATTCTATTAAAATATAAATTCAAATATGGCGGCTTGGACTGCCGCGTGCGTTAGGCTCCGCCCATAGCTCCGCCCACATGCGTGACGTCATTCGTGTTAGTGGACACGCAGAGAGATAGGGGACGACATGGGCCTGGCCCAAGGTACCAAAAGCCCCTCCATGAGAGCACAAGTTCCTGCGCATGCGCACATTGCCTCAACCCTGTACTGGCGTACATCAGTGATACTGCTCACGGACTCGGTCAGCTAATCAGCGTCCCCGATTACATTAATAGATGTCGCTAGCATCACGTAAATCCTGCTTGCGAACACGTTTTAAGAATGAAACAGCTGCGCCATTTCCGCCTTCCATTGATTCCTTCCATCTTAGTATCAACTATACGCTTTTCAACTCAAACTTTAGACTAAGTTTTAAACTATGGTCAAGGCCCAGGTTGCACGGACTTATTTCTACTAAACCTACCAGAATATACTTTCACGGTTGATTATTTAAATAATTATTCAATCAAAGTTTCTTTATTATTATCTCGTAATCATTTATAGGCAATTTTATAAATCAACTTTCAATTTGCTTGCCTTTTACTAGCAAAATAACTTTTCTAGTATTGGGTCAACATAGTGGTGTAGCAGTAGGAACCACATCTGGCAAAACCCCAATGCCTACATACAGCAGAAAAGCAGCCACCAGGTGTCGCCACAGTCGCCACTTGGTCGCCACACAGATGTCGCGCGCGGGTCCGTATCAAAGCGTCCAAAACCGCATGCGGTTTTGGACGCTTTGATGGTCCCCCGATAAAGGCATATCCGTGGTCGAAAATAGCTGAGCCCCTCCCAATTTCCAACCACCGACCTCATAAGCAAAGGATGTAAGCGTAATCCTTAAGGGCGACTTTCCTATACATATCCGTACATATGCGTCCTTATGGAAATCGGTAGTGTGGCGATTGGCGACGCGCGCGACGGGGGACCATCAAAGCGTCCAAAACCGCAGCATCCAAGGTACGTAACGTCCACAACCGCAGCGTCCAAAGTACGCAACGTCCAAAAAAGTCCAAAATCGGGTATATAGGGAGCATTCACAACGTCCAAAACCGAAACATCCAAAACCGCAACATCCAAAACGTATAATCCAAAAACGCAACATCCAAGGACGCAGCATCCAAAGTACGCAACATCCAAAGTACGCAACATCCAAAGTACCGCATGCGGTTTTGGACGCTTTGATGGTCCCCCGATAAAGGCATATCCGTGGTCGAAAATAGCTGAGCCCCTCCCAATTTCCAACCACCGACCTCATAAGCAAAGGATGTAAGCGTAATCCTTAAGGGCGACTTTCCTATACATATCCGTACATATGCGTCCTTATGGAAATCGGTAGTGTGGCGATTGGCGACGCGCGCGACGGGGGACCATCAAAGCGTCCAAAACCGCAGCATCCAAGGTACGTAACGTCCACAACCGCAGCGTCCAAAGTACGCAACGTCCAAAAAAGTCCAAAATCGGGTATATAGGGAGCATTCACAACGTCCAAAACCGAAACATCCAAAACCGCAACATCCAAAACGTATAATCCAAAAACGCAACATCCAAGGACGCAGCATCCAAAGTACGCAACATCCAAAGTACGCAACATCCAAAGTACGCAACATCCAAAGTACGCAACATCCAAAGTACGCAACATCCAAAACCGTTAGGTTAGGTTAGGTTAGGCTAGGTTAGGTTAGGTTAGGCTAGGTTAGGTTAGGTTAGGTTTCCTTATCCCCGGTAGGCATTAATCAGTAGGTTAGGTTAGGTTAGGTTAGGTTAGGTTAGGTTAGGTTGGGTTTCCTTATCCCCGGTAGGCAAAAATCAGTAGGTTAGGTTAGGTTAGGTTAGGTTGGGTTAGGGATAGGCAAAAATCAGTAGGTTAGGTTAGATTAGGTTAGGTTGGGTTAGGGATAGGCAAAAATCAGGTTAGGTTCGGTTCGGTTAGGTTAGGTTAGGTTAGGTTGGTTTTGGATGTTGCGTGCCTTGGATGTCATGGTCTTGGACGTTGTGGTTTTGGAGGTTAGGTACTTTGGATGTTGCGTTTCTTGGATGATACGTCTTTGGACGGTGCGGTTTTGGATGTTTCGGTTTTGGACTTTGTGAATGCCCCCTATAAACCCGATTTTGGACGTATTTTGGACGTTGCGTACTTTGGACGCTGCGGTTTTGGATGTTGCGTACTTTGGGTGCTGCGGTTTTGGACGCTTTGATACGGACCCGGACCAGCGTGGTCCCTATCTCTTAACCATTACGGGAGTCTGATGACGTCATCAGGCTTTCGAACGTCCGTTAAATGTTTGACTAAAACGTTTTGTAGCACGCGGTGGTATATGCTGCTTTGCGCGCAACAAATGCCGCACTTTCAAATAAAGTCGCTAGGAACAGCGGAGATCCCAAAAAGTAAACAAAAGTAAAAGTCTAATATCTTGAAAACCGGTGAATATTTTTCGATGAAATTTGGTAGATATTCGTTTTTGCACTTTTTGAACCGAGCGACATCACTTTCATGCCAATTCATTAACTTTTTTGAAGGTGGGAGGGTCCCTTTAATAATAATCATGTCATCCATCCTCGCCCACATAAAAATTTTTTTAAATATATGTACCAGAAATAACATACTGACCATAGTCAGGGGGTGTCGAAGTCTAGTAGGAAAACCTGGCAAATTCCCTGCGTGACGTCACGTCGGGGATGACCGACGGCACCTTGCACTGAAAGATACGGCAGAACGGCTATTTTTGAAAAATGATTAAAAATACTTTTGTGCTGTTATGACGCATAAAACGCTTATCAGCATGTTCCTCATCATGTGATAAAGGCGGGTCCGTATCAAAGCGTCCAAAACCGCAGCACCCAAAGTACGCAACATCCAAAACCGCAGCGTCCAAAGTACGCAACGTCCAAAATACGTCCAAAATCGGGTTTATAGGGGGCATTCACAAAGTCCAAAACCGAAACATCCAAAACCGCAACGTCCAAAAACGTATCATCCAAAAAACGCAACATCCAAAGACGCAACATCCAAAGCACGTAACCTCCAAAACCACAACGTCCAAGACCACGACATCCAAGGCACGCAACATCCAAAACCAACCTAACCTAACCTAACCTAACCTAACCTAACCTAACCTAACCTAACCTAACCTACTGATTTTTGCCTATCCCTAACCCAACCAAACCTAACCTAACCTAACCTACTGATTTTTGCCTACTGGGGATAAGGAAACCCAACCTAACCTAACCTAACCTAACCTAACCTAACCTAACCTACTGATTTATGCCTACCGGGGATAAGGAAACCTAACCTAACCTAACCTAGCCTAACCTAACCTAACCTAACGGTTTTGGATGTTGCGTACTTTGGATGTTGCGTACTTTGGATGATGCGTCCTTGGATGTTGCGTTTTGGATGATACGTTTTGGATGTTGCGGTTTTGGATGTTTCGGTTTTGGACGTTGTGAATGCTCCCTATATACCCGATTTTGGACGTATTTTGGACGTTGCGTACTTTGGACGCTGCGGTTTTGGATGTTGCGTACTTTGGATGCTGCGGTTTTGGACGCTTTGATGGTCCCCCGCTGGTCCCACCCTGCAAGTAAAGGGAAGAAATTTCTTGAACACCATAAAGCTGCGGGGGTTGCGACCAGGATAAATGGTGGTTTCTGAGCCTGGCCGCAAACTTGGCTATCTCAACTCAAAACTAATGTTAAGGTGGGAGGGTCCCTTTAATATAATGAGGCTTGAAATGATCTCACGCATGTCAAAGTGTTTTTATTTTAGGCAAAATAAATATCTAAAACAGTAAAACAAGCTTTCGGCATTACGCCATCATCAAGTTTGAATAAATTAACATGTTTTTGATTTTCAAAAGCTAGAGCACAATCATATTGTTCCAGGCATCCTCATAGCAGCTCACTTTTTTTTTTTAACGTATTGCAATACGTTGCAAATAGTGTGGTACATTGCACATGGCAAGTAAATAATGTACAACAATGTATCATTACGTACGCTACAACACATGCACACAATATATCAAAGGTACAACAAGGTCAATAAATCTCATCTCAACATCAGCCGCATACATCATCAACACCCGGTTGCAGTAAACATTGACATTATAATCATATTGAAAAACATTGCCGCTGTTCTTAGCTCGATTCCAGTCA